CCTCTCTGGTCAAATTGAAATAAATAAATGAATGAATAAATAAATAAAGTTAAATAAAATAATTTTAAAAATAGTAAGTAAAATTAAATAATTCTTTAAAAACTATATATGTAATATAACCTATGATTACTACAATGAAAATGTATTGCAATATCTATTGATGTTGTAAAATATTTTTCCAGATGATTCCTTTCTTTATATTTTTTTTTTTTGGAGAGGTTTTTGCTATAGGTTGCGTGCGCTTGCCAAAAAGACAAAGAGAAACAGAGACACAGAGAGTGAGAAATCACCCCCCCAGGTGGGATGGCCATGCCACAATCCCTTCTCCTTCGTTCTCCTCTCGGGATCTTGGGCACACAAGCGCATCTGCCTGGTGTGAGTTTTAGCCACGGGGTCTGGGACTCAGTTGACTGCATGGGAGTCCAGCGACGTAGCCATTACGCCATCTGCTGGTCCCCCTTTCTTTAAGTTCTTAGGGGGGAAATGCAGTAAAAATTCTGAGAAAGAATTAAATAAAAATTACATCGGTAAGAGACAAATGCTTCATCATTCTCCTATCCCATGTGGGATAACTACCTTAACTACTAGGCTGTGGGGTGAGCCTGAAAGGTAGGCTTTTAGGAAGAAATTAGGATTAAGGTTGTCAGGGCAGGGCCCTCATGATTGACTCATGGCAGGCTATGAGGAGCGGGAGTGTGTGTATGTGAGAAAGAGAACGGCTGGAACAGCCCACACTCTCCTGCCTACCACCATGGTGGGATGAAGCCAGAAGACCCTACCAGAAGTGGCCCCGGAACTTGGACCTCTAACACTGAGGTGAGTACGTCTCAACTTTTATCAGCCCCCTAGCTTCAGGTGTTTCCTGACAGTAGCAAGAGAACCAAGTGGAACGCCCGGCTGCAGTAAAGGAGCGGGACTTGGGTGGAAAGGGGGCGTACTGATGACCATTACCTTGCCAGCAAGCCCCAACCACGAGCTGCGTGTCGATCTTGGACGGATGGAGAGGGTAATCTTCAGTCACAGAGAAGGGCTCCTGGGAAGCACCGTCCACATAGAGCGTCACACTTGGGAATTCCACATTGAGGACGTAGTGGTGCCATTCCTCATCACAGACCTACAGAGACAGAGGGAAGGGTTAGGATCATGAGATATCAACCCTTCTTCTCAAACGAAGACACATCAGTGAGAGCAAGATGACTAGATATGGAAAACAAGTCAACCGTAATGACTATCTACCTAACATGAAAAGGATTTTTAAGAAGTCTAACAACAAAATATTCTGTAAACAGAGCTCACCAAAAAGAGCCAAGGCAACGCATCATCTCTAGGGTACACCAAACCAGGTGGCATTCGCTGCTCACCTGCCACAGGACAGGCTCCAAAACAGGGAGCTGCCAGCTCGGCTCCGCCAAGAGCACAGCACCAGAAGGTGCTTATTCGGCAGCTGGTTCGGCCTGCCAAGTGGCCATTCCTTTTCTGATCAAAATAAAAAGCGCCGCTCATCTCAGAACAAGGCACACAATAACCCAAGCACTTTGTGTCTCAATTCCAAGTTGATGACTAAGTACACAAGCGCATCCAGCCAGACAGCATGCCACACGGAACCAACCTCCTTCCCCATCATGAACGAGCATGCAAATACACACAAACCAACTGCAGAGCAGTCCCTTATCCAGATTCTGATTCACATAAGCAAATCATAAAAACAAACACATGTATAGAACCATCTGAAATGTGAACGTTGGATATCTGACAATAATAACAACTGCTAGTTTTCTTACACCATAAAAAAAGATAAGCATATGCTTGTCTTTTAGAACTACACAATAAAATATGTATGTCTACAGAGAATGAAATGACGCATTTAGGATCTCTTGAAAATTAAGTAATTTTTTGAGAGTAACAAAAATTATTAACAGTGAGGGGTAACAATGATAAAATAAGATTCACCAAGAACTGTTTGTTCACTGCTGAAGCTACTAGATGAAAGATTTATACTGTCATTCTTTTTTGCCAATTTTGCTATAAGGCACCTGCACTTGCCAGAGACAGAGAGCAGCCCCAGGGGGACGACCATATTGCAATCCCTTCTCCTCTGTTTTACTCTCAGGATTTTCTTAAGCTGTCAGGTCCAGGATTCAAACCACGCAGTTGGCCATGTACCTTAACCACCACACCACTGGCCGGTCCGCTCTAATGATCACTTTTTATACTTATCTGTCTAGTTTTATGGATGTCAAAAACTTCCCACAATGAAGTTTTATTTTTGGTTTTTTTTTTTTTTTTTGAGAGAGATTTTTGCCATAGGGCACATAGGCTCACCAGAGAGACAGGAAGTGAGAGATCATCCCTCAGGGAGGATGGCCATGCCACAACCCTTTCTTCATTCTCCTCCTGGAATTTTGGCCATGGACGTGCATGTGCCTGGTATGAGTTTTAAGCCACTGGGTTCAGGTCAACTATGTAAGAGTCCAACAATCTAACCGCTATGCCATCTGCTGGTCCCCCCACAATAAAGTTTTTATAACATGTAATCAGAAGAAACTAAATATGTAATACAAACTACAATTACTACAATGGAAATTTCTGCAATATCTATGTTCAACACATTTTTCCAGACTATCTTTCCTTAGATGCTTGGAGGAAAATGTGGTAAAAGTTCTGAGAAGAAGTGATTGATGTAAATAAAAATTACATCAGTAGGGCCAGCAGGTAGCATGATAGTTAAGGCACTGGACTCCCACATGGCCAACTTCAATTCAAGTCCCAGATCAGGCAGCCTGAAAATCACAACAGGCAGGCCCAGCAGATGGCGGAGTGGTAAGTGCTGGACTCCCACATGGCCAACTATGGTTCAAGTCCCAGACCTGATGGTTTGCTTTCTCACTTTCCCTTTCCCTTTCTCTCTCTCTGTGACTCTCTCTGGTCAAATTAAAATAATAGTAATAACAACAAGTAAAATAAATAATAATTTTTTAATAATTATTTTATTTAACTTTATTTATTATCATCATCATTTTCCAGTTTGACCAGAGAGAGACAGAGAGAGAAGGAAAGTGAGAAAGCAAGCCACCAGGTCTGGGACCTGAACCGTGGTCAGCCATGTGGGAGTCCAGCACCTCAACCACCATGCCATCTGCTGGCCCAATAAATAATAATTTTTTAAAAATCACAACAGGTGTGTGTGCATGTGCACCCGAAATCCCAGGAAGAGAATGAAGGAGAAGAAACTGGCATGGCCATCCCTCCTGGGGGGTGATTTCTCACTTTTTATGTCTCTCTTTCTCCAGTAAAAGCACATGTGCCCTAAAAACCTTTAAAAAAAAATTACATCAGTAGGAGACAAATCCTTCACCTACAATCACATACTCTCTTCCTTTCCCATTTATGCTTTTACATTTGTATCTATCTTGGGACCATTTCAGACCATGTATTTTAGAGACTACAGGCACATATACTATACATCAGCTTTTGCCCACTCGACCCCCGGAGCCAAATAAAACTAACAGGCCCAGGCTAAAGGTTCCCTGCTTGTCCCAACACTGTATCAAGAGAAGAAATTGTGTTGTAATTTTAATGAGAAAGCTTTCTTGGTTTATAATACACTCTCTGATCTCCTATTATACATGGATTTGCTTTTTATCATAGCAACTGTTGGAAAATTGGCTGTACAAAGACATGACATCATCGAAAGGAATGCAATGTGATCAAATGTCAAACCTCTAAACTACCTCAAGCTAGCAGTTTGTGTGGAATCTGAAAAATGTCGGGATTGTTATATCCTTAGAAATGTAAACTGTCCTGATTTCCTTAGAAATTTAAACTGTCCCTCAGTGCTCTGAACTGCTGAGTCACCCCAGGGATCTTTGGCTCAGTTTGGGAGCCAAGGCCTTAAGCTAAGAATAAATAAAAATAAGGATTTCAATTCCAACTTTTTAAGTAATTGCTGTTATTCAATACAAGTATTTTGAATTTAAACTATACAATATTTATTTCAATACTTTATCTATAAAATACATACATGCTGAAAAAAATACTTAGGCTTCCGGTGGAAAAAAGCTAAATGGATTTAATATGCTATCTTATTACACACAGACACAGAAATCACAAACTCATGAATAGACACTGGCTGGACAAGCCAGGAATGTGCAAGGTTTCAGCACACTGTTAATCTCTCTTAAAGGGCAATCATGGGGCCAGCAGGTGGTGTGGTGGTTAAGGCACTGGACTCCCCTATGGCCGACCACCTTTGGAGTCCTGAACCCAGTGGCTTGCTTTCTCACTTTCTGTCTGTGTCTCTCTGGTCAAATTAAATACAAATAATAATAGGAAATAAAATCAAACAAATAATTCTTGGGGAAAAAAGATAACCATTAATGGGTTTTCACTCACCTGATTCAACTTCCAGTGGAATTCTGCAGGTTTGTATTTCTTCTCCTCAGAAGGGTCCTGCCGGAGGAGGAAAACCAGCCGGCACCCGTGGACGTAGAGTGAATAGTGGTGCCGATTCATATCTGCAAAGACAGTTTCTATGGGTAAACTGCCAACGTGAGAGCCAAGAGAGAAATAAAAGCTATTTCTTAACAGACTTTGAAGACACAATTTTATCTGCATTAATTAACTCTCCAGTGGGGCCATGGCAGAGTTTAGCAATACATACACTTGGGTTTTCCTGCGAAGCTGGGCCCATCGTAACTGCTGACAACCCACTGGGTAAAAATGACTAATGTCCAAATGCCGACGCTCTCTCCCATGGAGAAAATGCGCCTGGCATGAAATACAGAGCAGTGTACACGACAGCTAGCCTACAGGAGGCTTTGGGAAGGTAAAGTCACCTGCCTCCAGCGTCTACCCCCCTGGACACCCCAATGTGCCGCTATTTACAGAGAAAAATGACTTACCTGTTTTGTCTGAACTGCAAAGAATTGTCTCTTTCTTCCTGCCAAAAGGACCGTGCCTCATCCACACAGAAATCGTGAAAGGCTCTTTGGGGTTGACTGAAACAATGCCGTCTGGGATCCTCACTGCTTGAGTGCCATTGAACTCAAAGACCTGGTCACTGTCGTGGCCATTGTCAGTGGGGAGGCCGATGGTCCAGTTCAAGGAGCTACTTGGGGAGGGAAGCAGCTCGGCAGTGCCGGTCGCCGCACCTAAAACCAGAGATGTACACATAAACGATGTGAAGGAGGTAAAATGCACCTACGCCTTTCAAAAGCACCCTAAGGGACCATCCTAACCTTGTGGCTATACTACTTGCTAGTTCCAGTTTGCTTTCTCCAAAAATAAAAGTTGTTTTATTTTGTTTTTGTGTAATTTGCTATAGGACAGGTGCACTTGTGTGTGTGGGGGGGTGAAAGTGAAAAACTGAATCACGCCTGGGGGGATGGGCACACCACAAACAATCCCTTCTTCTTTTGGGATTTTGGGCATGCATGCACATGGTCCAGGCGTGTTTTTTAAGCTGCAGGGTCTGAGATTCAAACCATAGAGTCAGCCATGTGGGATCCAACCCCTTAACCACCACGCCACTGGCTGGCCCCCCAAATAAAGGTTTTTAATTACCAGAAATAACAATTATAAAATAACTGTGGATGTTTTTTTGTTTTGTTTTGTTTTGTTTTGTTTGAGAGGATTTTGCTATAGGGCGTGTGCGCTCACCAGACAGAGAGAGAGAGACAGAGAGACAGAAAGCGAGAAATCACCCCCGCCCCCCGCCATCCCTTCTCTTCCATTCTCCTCTGGGGATCTTGGGCACGCATGCACACGTGCCCGACGTGAGTTTAAGCCACGGGGTTCAGGACGTGAACTGCGGTCAACTACGTGGGAGTCCAGTGACATAGCCATTACGCTAACTGCTGGCCCCCTGCAGATGTTTTTATAAAGAGAGGGCAAGACAAAAAATATCTTTTTTAAAAAGAATTATTTAATTTTATTTATTATTATTTAATTTGACAAGAGACACACAGAGAGAAGGGAAAGTGGTAAAGCAAGCTGTTAGGTCTGGGACTTGAACCATGCCCAGCCACACGGGAGAGTCTAGCCCCCCCGCCCCCAACACAAGTCTTTTAATCCTGCCCAAATATATACTATTTGGGCATAAACATTGCCAGTCCTTTCTTCTTCTTCTTTTTTTTTTTTTTTTTTTTAAGGTTTTTTTTATAGGGCATGTGTTTTGTAGAGGTTTTTGCTATAGGGTACTTGCACTTGCCAGAAAGACAGAGACAGAGAGACAGAAAGCAAGAAATCACCCCCTAGGGGGTTAGCCTCACTGCAATCCCTTCTCCATTCTCCTCTTGGGACCTTGGACATGCAAACACACACACACGGTGTGAGTTTAAGCCGCTAGGTCCGGCACTCAAACCACAGCTGACTACATGGGAGTCCAGAGACATGGGTCCAGAGACATGGCCATTACGCTAATCGCTGGTCCCAGCCAGTTCTCTCTTTCTAAATGTATACGTATACAATATAATTTTGTAAAAATGGAGTCTGGCTAGGTATATTCAGACTACATGCATATATTCCTATTGTTACTCTTCCATAACATAATTTAAAATGTCTGAATAGCATTTCACTGCCCAGATAAACCGTATTTATTTAAACCAACCTCCCCGGTAGACAAGAAGTTGTTCCTCATTTTTTTTCTATTATAAACCTTGCCATGGTGAGCACCTGTGTGTCCACATGATTATTCACTTAGAATAAATTCTTAGAAAAGGGATTACTAAAAACATGAAAAAATGTTTATTGTTGTTGTTGTTGAAATATTTGCTATAGGATGCATGTACTTGCTGGAGGGACAGAGACAGACAGAAAGTAAGATACCACCCCCTATGGAGGATGGCCACGCTGCAATCCCTTCTCCTCCACTCTCTTCTCAGGATTTTGGGCACGCATGCTCATGTGCCCAGCATGAGTTTCAAGCAACTGGGTCCAGGACTCGAACTGTGGTCAACCATGTGAGGGTCCAACAACATAACAATTATGTCGTCCCAGGACATGAAAAACTTTTTACAATCTTTGTTATACATTACCAAGTTGAAGTTTTTTTTTTTAATTTTTAAAAATTTTCTTAGTTATTTTTATTTAACTTTAATTTATTTATTATTTTAATTTGCTATGGGGCATGGTGCTCATCAAAGAGAGACAGGGAAAGTGAGAAAGCAAGCCATCAGGTCTGGGCCTTGAACTGTGGTCAGTCATGTGCAAGTTCAGCATCTTAACCACGCCACCTGCTGGTCCCACCAAGTCCAAAATTAAAAAAAAAAAATCTGTTCACAGAAAAAAAGAGCCTGCGAGTTCTCTTAGTCACTTGGTCCTTGATTCCCCCGTTCTGAGGAGCAGCATGGCATGCTGAACCAGCCTGGTTTTATTGGTAAGACCACAGTTGAAATCTCAGCTCTACCACTTCCTAAACATACAGCATTGGGCAAGCTACTGAATATCCCTTAGATTCAATTCCCCTATAAAAATAAGGTCAAAACCTTCTACCTCGGAGGCCTGGTGGAAAGCTTAAGTTTAAATTCATGTGGAAGTGCCTGGTGCACTGTAAGCATTCAGACACGAATTCTTTCTATTCTTCCTAATCATAAACTGTTCTGCTGAGAAAATGTTCGTTTAATACCATAAAAAAGAATAGTGTGAATAGAAAAAATAGGACAGACGCGTAAGATTGCTGGGGAAGGTCACAACGTGACCGTGGGATGCCTTTCATCACCTTTTATCATCCAGTAAGCTTCGTGGCATAAAAGTCTTGAACAGAGTGAGATCAGTTTTCTTAACTGAGAAGACAAGTACGGGTTATGGAAGCTCTCCAGGGAAAGTAGAGTTCGGGAGAAGAATCTGAAATATCAACTGCTGTCTATGATACCAGGCACACAGTAATGCATAAAAAGCTCTGTTCCCTGCCTCATGGAGTTTCCAGTCTCCTGGATCATCAAAAAAACTGACTGTTCTAAGTGTTTACATACAAAGAAAGATGAAGTGGACTGTGGAAGTCCTTAGTGTTGAGCTCCACAGAGGGAGAGGTGTGTTAGAAACCTGGCTTAGTTTGGGGGATAAACAGAAGAATGCCCCGAAAGGAGCTGTGGACACTGATCGACGCTTCTGCAGTCGAGAGGAGAGTACAGTCATTCCCAGAAATGGAATGGCCAGTGCAGTTTTCACAGGAGAGTCTAGAGAAGGGAGTCTGCTGTAGATCTGTCGCTGTCTACAGAAGAGCTATTTCTCATTGACGGGAGATGATTACAGTTCTTCCTAAAACAGATGGCTGCTCTTTTTCTAAAGAGAGTAACGCTACAAACCATAAAGACGGCTGCTACCTGCCTTGGAAGATGCCCTGGTAAACACTGTGCAGAGGACAGCTCCCACACAGCTGTCTTCCCGAGTCTGCCCAATATTTCATGTAGAAGCTTTTGGCACTGCTGAAAACCTCTAGCATGAAAGAAAAGAAGACTGAAACAGCTTTCAGTAACACAGGAAGAAAAATTCACTAGCGAATTTTTCACGTTTTTGACGAGAAGGTCCATGATTTGGGAAACATGCACTGAGCCGATGTGATTACGATTAGAATCATGGATGAGCGAGGACTGAGACTAGTTCAGAGGAGCGCCAGCACAGGGCCCCCGGAGTACCAGCTCATGCCCGGACTCCAGATTCAAGAGTACCTATGGCTTGGGGAGCAGAAGAAGGCTAGACCCAGAACCAGACCAGCCCTGACAAAGGAACTAACTATTTCTTCAAATCTTGGACAACATGATTTGGACACAAAGAATAAACAGGTTCAGCA